ACCTTCATTTATAGACACAAATTTGAATTTCATATAATGTTCATGCATAATAAAATACTCTCATTTGGAGAACTGGATACTTGAGTCTCTGAGAAGGGGCTGATAAGAGGGCCTTAACTTTGCTTGTCCTTTCCATTGGTCGTGCTGTTTTCATCTTTCTAGCATGATTATTCATGAAGCCTTGCTGGGGCAGTGGCCTTTCACAGATTAGGCACTGATCTGACTGAAGGGCTGAAGTTTGGAATATGTCTTCCTGAAGAAGTGCTGTAGAGATGTCTGGGACGCCTAGGAAATGGGTCCTGCCACTTCCATCTACAGGCTGTATTGAGTAGGGAAGAGCCACGTCCTTTCTCCCTGGCTACAATGGGGTTTGTAGACACAAAGGATGTCTCCAATCTGGTAGTGGGTAGATCCTAGGAACTTACTTACATCTGTCTTTCCTTCATTAACCTGTGTGGGTAGCTGTCAACTTACTAGAGGAAAAGAAACTGCTAGGAAATTTTGAGGCATTTAAGTATCATTTAGGCCACTTTGACTTCTTTTTCGTAAACAAGTACTTGGTTTTATCAAATGGATTCCAATAAAATATTTTAAAGTAAAAAAAATATTATTCCTCTTTTGATTTTTTTCAATAATTCAAAAATGGGAAAAAAAACTATTCTTAGTTCTCAGGTCATACAAAAGCAGGCAACAGCCTAGATTAGGCCTACAGGCCACAGTTTGCTGACCACTCTTCTAGGAAGTCAAAATCTAATAGAGGAGAGACACAAAGACAAAATTTCTTAAGGGAGGGATGATGGGAGCCGTTAAGAGTTAGCAGAAAATATTAAGGACGAACAGCCATCACCCAGGTGCAAAGTAAGGTGAAAGGCACTGCAACCAAACATCATAAGCAAAGAAAAGCATGGTGGCTGTGAAAAGCCACAGGCAACTCGGCATTACTAGAGCAAAAGTCATAAAGAGTGATGCAGGGAATGGTAGGAAATGAGAAATGAGGCTGGGGAGTCAGACAGGAAGTGAGCTCACTGCAGCTGCAGGCTGACTACCCACCTATGTTAATAAAGGGCTCGGGGAGACCCAATAAAATATACAGGATGGCACAAGTACTACAACACATGCCAGCTGAGGCTCTTTTTCCACTCTTGAGAAGAAATTAAATAGGTCCACTTCCATCCCCCTGAGGCTGCTCCACCATTGTCTCTTCTCCTTGTGCAGGGAACTTAAGAAAATGTATGGATTGCATTTTATTAACTGCCAGCAGGACATGTGAGCATGTCAGAAGAAATGTATTAATACTTTGTTCTATATGTGCCTCTTATACACCTGTATGTGTTAGAACTTGATCAGTTTGGTTTACAATTGGAGTTATAATGGTGGCGCCTAGGTGGCTGAATGGTTAAAGCTTCCGACTTTTGGTTTCGGCTCAGAATCATGATCGCACAGTTCACAAGATCAAGTCCCGTGTTGGGCTCTGTGCTCACAGCAAGGATACTGCTTGGAATTCTCTCTCTTCCCCTCCCTCTGCTCTCTTTCTCTTAAAATAAATAATTGAAAAACTTTAGAAAAAAATTGGAGTAATAATTACAGGAAAAAAAAACAACCTTTTAAGGAGTTTTAATGAGTTTGGACTAAGCATTTAAATTTTTCACAATGTATCAAAACATGATTCCATAACTTAGTGTGTTTTAGTTCTTTGAGTAAGATTTACATTAGGTGCCAATTATGATCATCACCATCACCATCATCATCATCATCATCATCATCATCATCATCATCATGTTTCTGGCTCACCTTTCCAAATGTCATTCTGCTGATACTAAACCAATAGTCAAAAATAATATCCTCTACTATTTTAGTGAGGAAAAGGCTAAAGATGGATAAAGGGGAAGTAATACATTATATACCCAGTCTTCTTAACTGGAGAACTTGGGAGAAAGCAATTAGAATATTTTCTTCAGAGCTATAAATTTGTCTCAGAAAGATGTGACTGGGCAGAAATCAATAACTTGAAAATACCCAGACAAGATGGGATGATGAGTTAAACTATACTATATGAAGGTATGTTATAAAAGGGTAGATTCAGTGAATATTGTGAGAGCTTTTTTGCACAAGCACTTAAAGAGAATTGGCTTGGGGCACCTGGGTGGTTCAGTCAGTTAAGTATCTGACTTTGGCTCAGGTCATGATCTCATGGTTTGTGGGTTCAAGCCTTGCATTGGACTCTGTGCTGACAGCTCAGAGCTTGGAGCTGCTTCAGATTCTGTGTCTCCCTTTCTCTCTGCCCACCCCCTCATGCTCTGTCTCTCTTTCTCAAAAATAAATAAACATTAAAAAAAATTTAAATAAAGAGAATTGGCTAGAGCAGTCCTGGTAGCCACATGACATCCAGAGATGACATAAACAACAACAGATATGTATGTTGTATACATTAGATACATGGTATATATAAATATTAACTCATTTTAGAGGATAAATACATGCACTGAAGGACTCTCCTCTCTAATGACAGAGCCTCCTGTACCGCCTCACTCACAGCTCCTTTCACCATGAAAACGCATGGTTTACCTTCCCCAAAAGACTGTGAGCAACACAGGGAGAGAAACTGTATCATTGATTTCTGTCTTCTCATGAAGACTTATAAAATAACCTGCATATACTAGGACTCCATAAATGTTTTCTGTCAGAATGAGAAGAATGAGTGAAGAGGTGAACAAACACAAAGGTGTCACACAGAAAGAAGGTATTGACTCCATGTTGGGCATCAAGAGAGACTTTATACAGATGTCAATAGGCGTCCAAAGGTAATGAGCAAAAAATACAGAACAGAATGCAGAGTTCTGTTCCATACTGAGATCCTCCTCCTCTGTGTATTTTCTTTTTGTCAAAAATTGTTCTAGGTCAAAATTTTTAGTTTAGAGATTAACAGTGAGATAAATGCTCCCAAAATCTAACAGTAATTTCTTATATCTAGTGTGTGTGTGTGTGTGTGTGTGTGTGTGTGTGTGTGTGTGTGTTCAGTTCATTTTAGGGAAATTTTGGACACCTAACAGTTGACGAGATTTTGTCTTATGTATGTGAACATAAACATATATTAAAAAAAACTAAAATCTAAAAACCTGTTAGAGACAGAGATTTAATACTCTTTAACTCCAAATCTTTAAAAACAATTATTAGACAATATTTTAGATGGTTGCATATGGGTTGGAATTTAGATAAGCTACTTCTAAAGGCAATATTGTATACATCCATCTCTACTTAATGCAATATACTTCGAAACCGGCAAATATTTTTAATTTAAATATTTGAAATTTAGAAAACAAAGGGGGAAAAATCCTGGCAATAAAAAATAAGGACTCCAGGGCTTACAATGTTTTTTCACTTAATTCATATGCTTTTATTAATCCCTAATTACAATATTCCTTAAGTGGAAAAGATGTGCTAAAAAAATGTTAAACTTCATTTTATTTTCAGTTCTGGTGGTTCCTTCCTAATGAGTCCCATGAACTGAATGGAGAAAAGGCCAAGTAAAACAACAAGGTAGCTGTCCTCCCCTTTGCAGAACAAGAATAGCTAAACTTAAGTATCAAGGAGGGAAAACATGAGCAAACATGTCGAATTCCTCCCCCTTCTACTTTGCTCATGGATGTTTCTCTCCCCGGCACTGGGAGCACTACACCCTATAAAGGCTGAGAACTGGCCTGTCCTATTTACACTGCACTGCTCTCGACATCATGACCTCCCCATTCAGTGTTTCTTTTCACTTACACGCAGCATCTTGACACTGGTGGGAAATATTAGAGTGCTGGAACCAGGGCTGAAGCAAAAACCCTAGGGGATGGCAGAAAAAAATAAGCAAAAACAGAGAAAGATAACAAAACTCCAAAGGGAGGAGGGTGTGTTTTGCTCATTTAATTGGCTTTCTGCTCCCCAGTCTTCCACATGCCTAATGTCACACGACAGTATAGAAAGCTTTTGGGCAAATTTCTACAACAAACCATAACTTCTCAGAAAAGAAAGGCCTAAGCAACAGAGATTTAATTCATCTTGAAATAGCAAATCAATTCTTATCTATTAACACACTAAATACAGCATAGGAGCACTGTCCTGTTATAATAAACAGACATGCTCAATTATGGTGTGCTTTCCCAGCTACTGATCTCTTCAGTAATTATACCATGCAACGAGCTCAACATTGATATTATATTAATATGCAGGGAGGAGAGAACTTAAATACAAATTAAATCAAGGCTCGATATTTCAGTGAAGCTTACATAAGGCCTGAGAACAAATGGCATGTTTCTTAGAAGGAGGTAATAAAGGTGATTTGTATAATAACTCATTTTCTAGTTCTAATTAAAAAGTTGAGACATGCAAACTATCTTAGAATTCTAGTCTCTTAACTGTCCATTTCAAACATAGCTGACAAAGCTGTCTATCATGTTTCATAATCACCTGTTCTTGTCATATTAACAGCAGTAACGATCTTCAAAAAAAAAAAAACATTTTATAGAGACATGTTGCAATAAAAGTGAATGGCAAATAGCAACTTCTATGGAGACAAAACAAAAAGATAAAGTTCAAGAAAATGTTTCTTACCCTTTTGCAGAACTGTCAAACAACTTCTATTGACCAAGAAAAGCACACAGTAAACACACCAAAGAAAAGAAATGATGAAAGATGTATTTACTTGTTCAGGGCCTTTATTTTTCTTTCTATTTCACATACACCCACACTGAACAGTCTGCATTGTGTTAATAAATAACCAGGAGCAACCTAAGTGAACAGAGGAGGGGTTTCTATGATGCTGTCAGGTACCAGACAGTTGCTTGGCACGGCTGATACAGTTCTCTACATGGGAGTTGCACGCCCACATGAAAAAAGAGAGTGAGACAGAGAGAGAGAGAGACAGAGAGAGAGAGAGAGAGAGAGAGAGAGAGAGAGAGAGAGAGACAGAGACAGAGACAGAGAGAGAGAATAGGTTAATGGATGGATCCTCTTACTTCTTAGGTCCAATTGGAGGGAAGGAAGAACTGTTGGAAAATGACAGATCTTTGGAGTTGTCCAATCCTTTCAATTTGAGAAGGAACAAATCAATTTTACAGACCATGTCCTGCCAGAGTAATGTTTTACCCAATAACTTGCTATGGTTATTTGGAAATTTACGAAACTATAACTTCAAATACTTTAACTTTTATGAGTTTTTTATTGCTTTATTTTTCAAACTGTTTCTAATGTTGGCTCCATGCTTTATTTAGTCTTTGTCTCTGTGTATGTGTGTACATCTGACACACATATATATATGTGTGTGTGTGTGTATGTATAATATATCAGATTAATTTGATATATTCTTAATTTGTCTGTTTCTATTTTCTAAAACACAAAAAGAAGACCAAATAATACACATGAATTGTGACTAAAATCCCAACTCAGTGTTCAGGGTGTTAGAGTTTACCTCATTTATGACATTAAATACACAAACAAAAGAGTTACTGTGTTATGTCAGCCTGAGACATTTCAGTGTTTTGAGCTTACTCTTTATAAAAGTTTGCTTCCAAATGTCCTGTGACAGTCTTCCCTAAAGCTATGGGGAAAGTCTAACATAAATGAAAATAGGCTAAGTACCAAAACTATCATGGTAGAGTTGAACTTTTTGTATATATATAGGTGCATA